CTTAGAAACTATCAACATCTACAAAACAATATAGTAGAGGAAGGACCTTGTAACATCTATTCATAGAAAACTTACTCAAATAATTGTAATCAAGTTTATATCACAAACTTCTTAAGTTGCATAGTCATTACAGTAAACCTAAGTCATCGTAAAAAGAGAATTCATGTACACGGATTCACGTTTTAAGGAATTCATTAGGCCAGCAGAGGTAGGTGTATTAAGCTCTAAACTAAACAACTGCTAACCTGATTGAACCGAAGTAATTACAGCGAAGTTCGAAATTGTAGCTTAACACAATCAAGTCAAATAATTATACAGTTCTTAATACATCTACCCAATTCGGATCAGACCGACCAATTTGATACAGCAGAATATTTCTTGATACTTTGAATAAAAACATGCTTCTGGCTGACAAACTGTTGGAGTTGATCTACACATCAACATTGACTTGTTGAGGTTGTCACAGCAACAAACACTATTGTAACCTTTCAAAAAATATTATTTTAGCGTGATAATGCCACCTAGTTGACACTAATTCCTATTGGTTTCTTTGTCTTGCAGAATACCAGATATACTGTAATGTTTGTTCATTTCATAGTTTTTACTTGAAACATAAAAGTTTTCTTACGAAGTCTAATCTTTTCTCTTTTTACTTGAGTACAGTTGACAAACGTTGCTGTTCATTGGTCGTTCGATCTATATCCAATCGAGATAGCTTCCCTCTCTTATTAGAAGGCAGCTCACGCCTTATCCCCCACCAATTGTCGTTATTCTCGAACTCAACTCTATACAAACTACAACCCGAACAAATTAAACTATACCCTATTGTATAACAGAATAATGACTGAAGAATTAAACTTATCGTCAAATAGGTGAAGAGTAAGTTGAATAATGAATGAATACATGCTACAGTACATATATGAATCAAGTTGTAAAATGAAAGAGAGAGGAAGTGGCTAGTGGTAGACAGAAATATATATATATATACAAAGGGACTAAAACTCCTTTTTTCCCCACAGTGCACAACACTTACAGATAGCCCAAACTGTACCTAACAAATAATGAATACAGTTGAAATGATGTTGGTTCAAATGAAGTAAGTGAACAAAAAAAAGAAATCTGTAAAATAAAAATGTTTTTTAACAATTTAGAATCAGTACTTATTTGACACAGATTATTCGAAAAAATTGACAGTAGATAGATTTCAAAAAAAGATTGAGTTTGTTTTATTTGGAATTCGTAAAAAAAATAAGAATCTACTTTGTAGAACTTTCAGAAATCATCTAAAATTTGTTTCTGAGAAGAGAAGCGAAGGGCCAACTATCAAAGAAAGTTTGAATATCCATTCCTCACCCCTAAAACAGAATAAATAGACTTTTGCACCAATCTGCTACTTGACTACTAGATCAATCAACACGTACTATTTAGTTTAGTCTGAATAATTGTTTGCTTCATTAAATTTTATACATATTCACAGGTTTACTTTCTGTGAAATGTTAAATCCTCTACAAACCCAATCATCAATTTACAAATGATAATATATTTGATAAAACAGTAAAACACATGAAACAAAGTTATATTTCTATGTTTAGAAAAAGTCAGATTACATACAAATTGTTAAATACAGATAAAACAATAGGACGGAGTTGATCTGAAAAATGTGATGTATTTGCGCTACATATTTTAAACAATTCGATCACATATATATTTGTTCTTTGAAATGTATAGAGCAAATATATCATATTTTTCAGATTAAATCCGTCTTCCCATTGTTCTATAGAAATTTATAAAAGGGAATAATCGGTTTGAATTGTTAGATAGTCGAATAAAAATTTGATTAGATTACCCCGTTTACTCTAATTTAACTCACTTTACTCAGTGCTAAATTAGTGTACGCGGCTTTAAGTCCTACTTTATTTGTGAGAGCTATTGATACTAGCTGACCGCCCTAATGGGATCTTACTTTGACGTGCCCTCATTTTGTTTCTCAAGAATGAAGAGAACCAATGATTAAGAAACTACAAAAGAGAAAAAAAAGTAGGAACTTACCTATGCTTTGGCCAACTGCTTCTAATCTCACCCCGTTGCAAACGGGTACTACAACTTATGTAAAGCAATTTCAAGTTTTCGAACCAGGTGCAATCATCAACAATGCGGCCAAAATAGTGGTAATAATGGTAATAATAGCAATAACAGAAGTAGGCGAATAATCATCATTATTATTGATGCAATGATGAAATCACCCAGCGGCAATGACAGGTATGAACCGGGTTAGACAAGCATAAGCAATAATGATGATAATAACGGTAATAACAGTGATTAGATTGTGAGTTGTCGAAGGGCAATACAGCAAACAGTGTTAGAATTATTTGATTCATTTTGTTTTTAAAGAAAAACGGGAAAAAAAGTCAAATATGAGGTTTAATCATAAGAATAATGAATTTTAAATTTAGGGTTAAACCATGGTACGAGTATGGTACTTAGTGAACAAAGCTATAATTGTACTTAACAGTGATAAAAAGTAAACTACCTGGATGAGAAACTATAGTTAAGTTAGAAACAAATAAATAAATAAATAAATGCATTTCAATTAAGCTGTAATATATATATATATATATATATATATATATATATATATATGATTTAGTAAGATTCATGAAGTTACAATATATTGTCTCAAAATCTGTTATTCGCTTGAGTATTTTGGGCAGGATTGTACAGGCTGAACATGCTATTTTCCAAGAGTATTCACTCAATTATGTCAAACGCTTGTCAAATCCACACTTCCTGTATCCCCAAAAATTGGTTTTGACTTCAGTAAAGTAAATCAAGATGATCTATTTGACAGTATACTCATTCCTTGATACCCAAACGAATATACGTTTCACACAAGATATGATGTAAGTAAACAACAATTAGGTGAGCTATATTTATCATCATAGAAATTACCAGATTACGATACAAAAGGTGTTGATATCTCAAGTTATAAAGTTGCTTTCTAGACATTTTAATAAATAAGAAAATGCAAGTCGCTGAATTATTTTCCTAAATCGTGTTTTTTTTCATTACTTGTTGTTACTAGTTTTCTTTTTATTACCCAAACTTGTTTATGAGAGATAAAATCTAACCCATCTCTTTAGAACTCCAATATTCCTTCAGTGAACCAAACACCGATCAAGTGATTAAATAATTACTTCGTGAAATTAGGTAATGGTATGAAAAAGGTATTCTTATCGTAATACATGACTTATTTGCACAATAACATCAACCAAAACACACTTTTACTAAAACCGGATATTAAACATAAAAGAACCATGGAAAAAACAACACGAGAGACAAACACATTAGCCTACTTGTTTGGTCCATCGGCGCTTAAGGCAGAGTCAGTGTCAATATCAAATAAAGTTGGATCGTGCATATGCACACCACTATCATCAGTCTGAAATTCAAAAAAATATAACTACAACTAGTAACTGTCTAAAACTAAAGTCAATCACATAGTGTAATAAACAACAACGAAATCAATTTCAATCACAAGTGATTTTTAAAATGTGATTGTGAACTTGTATCATCTGAAGTGACTGGAGTCACTTGTTCTTGTTCAGATAAGCATGTTTTGTTTAGCTGCAAAATATAGTAAAATGGACAAATGCGGGGCTATGTCTTGAGTATGACTAAGTCCTTGGGGAAACTTAAGTTCGACCTAATAACAGTGAATTCCCACAAGCTATCCGAAAATCCCATCCTTCCAAAATTAATATCACATTAAATAAGGATGGCCATATATATATATATATATATATATATATATATATATATATATATATATATATATATATCATTGTGGAGATAATCAGAGTTTGCAACACATTTTAAACCCTACGCTAAATATTATATATATATATATATATATATATATATATATATATATATATCATTCTAACAACAATACGGATTCGGTTACCTTGTCATAAACAACAAACTTCGAAGCTTATATCCTTTAGTTTGAAGCTCAATGCACAATCTTTTCATGTTATCATAGTAAAGATTATGATATCTGAGAAATCTCAAGATTTCATCACCGGCAGCGGAATCATCAAACATAATCACTGTTCGAATAGTATATCTCTGTTATTTACAGTTGAGCAAAGTGTTCCTTATAAACAGAAATGCATGCCCAGTGAGCATTTAATTAGTTTCCATAACAATATTTCATGAATATGAGAGGAATGAGTAATCTTGTTACGCGTACAGTACTAGGTAAGTCTCAAATTGATAAATTTCCAAACCTGCACTGGGTAACATGGTTGGGAGACGTGTTGAACACAGAGGTTCAACGCTCATTAAGAAGCGTTACGCTGACTAACATAAGAGTCGGTTGAAAAAGCCAAGCAAAGACATATCATCAGTCCATGGAGCTACAGAATATCGGACTGCCATGTGCCTTGATTTATATACTTTATGGCTTAAGACATAATCTTTCATCGGATCTGAAGACCTTGAGTAATACGACTTATAATCAGTCACAGTGGTATAAATATACTCAATTACTATTTTCCGGTATTATTCCGTAACTCTGGACTACTTAATCACTTTCTTCACTCCTGAAATGTAGCCTTTTGGCCTATGGGTGTTGCCATTAATTTGCTTTCTCTTTATAGTTAAGAAAACTAACAGTTAACTAAAGTATAAGGTGTATTTGTATTACGCTCATATGATTTTTATTTGTTCTTAACATAAACAAGAATGGGGATAAAAAGCGTAAGTAGATCAAACAATTGTCTGAGAAATTGTATGATCAATGAGTAATGGGTAGATTTACTAATAACACACGCAACGTATTCAGTAGCGTCACAGACTATACGTACAGCACACAATAGACAACAATATGAGGACAAAACGTACCTTGTTCTCCAAACCGTCTGAAAGGAAGCTCGACCTTACAGATGCGTTTTGCCCATCTGAATTCCTAGATAAAGAATTTGAGTGCTTTGATGTACTGTCTTCATCAACTAATTGTATATTATTGAGATGAAAGGCACCTTACAGTTTATGTTTCCCTCAAAAGCCTTCTTAAAATCTTCATAATGTATAATTCCGTCATTTTCTGGATCTAAAGTCTGCACTACTTTCATGATATCCTGTACACGTATTAATAGGCGAAAAAACGCAGTTACGTTCGAAGAAAGTGATGATCGCCTTTCTCCATTAGCTCCACTTGAATTATAAAATTCTTTAAAAGTTGATACGAATTGCTCCACAGTAATATATCCCTTATTTTCCGTGTCCAAGGCTTTAAAAACTAGAACTAGTGGATCGTCTGTCATTTCCATTGCCTTATCTGGAATACGTAACCCAACAAATCAAACTGACGCACCGAGTCAGTGCATCAATTCAATTTTCAATATCTCCAACGTCTTTATAACAAGCTTGTATAAAGCAGTTGATTTTTTTAGCTGGATTCTTCCTGTTTTGGTATGCTTACCGATATTTGTTGAGGACTGATGAATAGTAGTCTAGCCACTCTAGTGATCTGTTTCAAGTCCGTTTGGTAGTTATTTTTTATTTATATGTCTTGTAGTTTATGTGTGTGCTTGTCTCGGAGCAAAAGGGTTTCTGGATGCCAGAAGATAACAAATTACCAGTCAAGAGGTTGACTTAAGGCAATGTGAATATAGTAAGGTGATAATTCAACCACTGAGAGATTACTGTTTCAAGAACAAACAAATAATTTTCTTAATTGATAATGTATAAGGAGACGGAGTTAGGAGAGTAAGAAGAACAACAAAGGCGAAAGCAACCGAGATGAGGAGTATTTAACGATATGTAGCTCAACGAGAAAAATCCCAAGGTTGCGGTCTGTCGTAAGATTCATGTTTTAGGCCTATCACCCACTTGGTTCCACGTCTCTTCACTTGGTCCTAGATATTTGCGACTCTTTTGAAGAAAGAGGATGCCACGACATTGTGAACTTTAAGTTGAGGACTTGTTTACGTTTTACATAGTATTTAAGAAAGCCTAGATGTGGTTACGCATAATTGTTCTTCCATAAACTAGTGAGTTACGTTTTGCTTGTTTGCATCTTCCATGTATTTTGGGCCGGTGTCTTAGCTCTCCGTGATTTCAAGCCCCAAACCACGCTCTAAGAAAATAATCGGGAGCGGTTTCTCGTTGATGATGTAAGTGGTTTGTGCCAAATGTGTCATAATAATAATGACGTAAGATTTCTACAGGTTAATTGCAAAACCACTGTCTACTTCCCATTGCTTTATTGTTGTATTGTCCTTTTGAGGCTAATGTAAGTCATTTTCGTTCCTTATGGACCTTTTGGACCTTTATGTCGTTTGTATAGATCAGCTACACCGAGATGATTTTATCTAAGAGGTCGTTAATAAAGATCATGAATACGAGTCGGCCTAAGATTGTTCCTTGTGAAATTCCTGATGTTGAAACCTTCCAACTCGCGTATACTCTAGTCGTCGTACTACGAAACCCCAAGATCGCTAGATTGTTTCTGAGCCAGTGTAAATGTAGGTTAGTGCAATCCACTTTCGCAAACTTTTTCATGAGAATTACGCGAGGTACCGTGCCAAAGGTTTTCGTGAAATCCAGGAATATAATAGAAACCAGTATCTTATGATCCCCGTACGTCTTCATACCCTTTCATGATATATGTAGATTTGACACGCTTTTCCAGAAATCATGTTAAGCTTCATGAATGGTGCTGTTTTTATACCTGCATTCCCTCGTCTGTTCGCTGTGAGTGCTTCCATTACCTTCGACATTATTAACCGTAAGGCGACTGGTTTGTAACAGGCTGGGTCTCTTTTATCTTTCTCTTTGGGGTGTTTAGAGTGGCTGACCTGCTTCTCTTGCCCAGGTTGACGCTAATCTACTGAGTGCTTGAAGAGGTCACACATTGATGTCCTGATAGCTTATGCTCACTTTTTCAGGATAATAGTTCAAATATCGTCTCATTCTGGCGACTATCTTGAGAGCACCGACTCTGGTCTCCTTTGTACCGTTTCGTCATTATGCTGGATATCTCGCAGACCCTCAACTGGCACTAGAGCTGAGAGTTGTGTCGTTTCTTCAGGCTCCTTATTTGCTTGTTCAATGAAGCTGGCATCAAAAATCTCTGCCATCTTAAAGCTAGTGAGATCTTTGCTGTTTGACCATCCAAGAACACAGATTTCCTCATGGTCATGAGTCCGTGAAGATATTTGAGATGAGCTTGCATTTTGACTGCTATCTTGGCCTGGAAATATCTCACACAGCCGCGAACTTTGGAATAGCAGCTGTTTCCCTGTGTCAAGTGAGAGCCGCGATTCGAATCCATAAGGGGAGCTCATCACGTGCACCAGACACTTCGCTCGATTTGTATAAGTGTTCTGTGACTCTATCAACTCAGGATCCTCACCTTCCAAATGTTAGCTTACTTTGAAGAACATTCTGTCGGATCGCACTCTGGATACCTTCCTCATTACCTGTCAGTGATCACCTACTCACAGAATCGACCGCTGTCGTGACTGTGAGGCGTATTAGAGATGCACCCTCATCGTCATGTAATCTAGTCTGATGTAGATTAGGTATGGAAAATTCTCGTCCCTTCAAAGTACTTCATATTTGACTAAATCAATCACATCGCTATGGTATAGCTTGTAAGATCCAAACTAAGGTTTGGATTGAAGAATAGCTGTCTAGGTGGGTTAGATACGCACCCTTGCCCGGTTGAAACCAAAACAAAGTGATTGGGTAAAGTGACGGTTTTGAAATTCATCATAAGTTTAAATGTACAGTTTTACCTAAACAAATATGAGCATCCAGCTATCCAACCAATAATTGTTCGATTAATCAAATCTAAATTACAACAAATGAGGAAGTTGATAAAGGATGCGGGAAAATCATCAACCACAACAAATAAATGTCATTCTATACTGTCTGGATAGACCACGCACAGAATCGTTCAAAAGATAATATTTGGTTGCTTTATAACACAAAGTGTCTCCATTCCTGGAAGGGTGCTTCAATTCACAATCAAAAAATGTACGGTTCTAGTCAATACGAGCAACACAATGAAAATGAGGAACAAACCAATATGGCTGCCGCCAAGACTAAGTATCAAGTAAAACAACATAAATGCAGTTCAGGAAGAAACATGGAAACCTAGTGAAGGAGTAAGAAAAATAAAAACCGTAATAAAATACAAATATTGCCAACTCAAATAGAATAAAAAAGACTAACAAAATTCGCAACTATAGGAATCAATAGGAACAAGCTGCAAGTGTATACATGGAGGGATTTTCACACACAAAACATCCAGAATGGATCTTACAGCGCTTGACTGATTGTCCTATTACTTAGTACTCCTCTATAGCATCATCAGTCTTCTGTAATTAAAGCGGATAGCTGTTTATGGTGGGATGGCCACTGTAGGTCTTTGTCTGTGTAGCGTGTCACATTATCACAGAATTATTTAGTGAACATTTTTGTTTCTCACTAACTAACGAAAAACCATTTAATGATTCAGAACCAATCCCAGTAACTCCCTGTGAAATTACTAATGTAGAATTCAGTGTACAAAATATCTCCAAGGCAATCAGTACATTGAAACACTCCTACACTGATGGACCAGATGGTATTCCATCTAGCATGCTAAAACGTGGAGGTGATGATATGTGTGTTTTGCTTCTCAAACTATTCGCGATATCACTCTCTTCAGCGTGTTACCCTACTGCCTGGAAAACTACACATATCATTCCCAAAATTAAAACAGGACCTGAAGCAAACGTTGAAAATTACCGGCCTATAAACATAACTTCAGTGGTATCCAGAGTGATGGAAAAAGTAGTTAAGGCGGCTGTAGTCCAACATCTACTAACTAATAATCTCATCTCGACCTCCCAGCATGGATTTCTTAGGTCCAGATCATGCGATACATGCCTAGTAGACTACCTGAATGATATAACTCTGAAACGAGACAGCGGACTCCTTGTATCAGTCCTATTCCTTGACTTTAAGAAAGCCTTTGATAAGGTCCCACACAAAAGGCTACTCGTCAAACTAAAGTCCTTCGGAATACACAACCCACTGTACTCATGGTTTGCTTCGTTCTTAACAGAACGTAAACAGATGGTAAAGTACAATGACTGTCTCTCGTCCCCTAGACCAATCACCAGTGGAGTCATCCAGGGAAGCGTATTAGGTCCACTTTTGTTTCTTATGTATATAAACGATATATGTAACACCATAGAATTTGGGAAACCATACTTATATGCTGATGATCTCAAAATAGTATACAGCTATAAGCCTGAGACACTAAGCGAAAGTGTATCCCAGATCCAAAAGGACCTCAATAACTTAACTATATGGAGTGAAAAATGGCAATTACCATTTAACCTCAACAAGTGCGGGATCATGCACTTTGGAAAGCATCCCTATAAACCGCGACTTCACTTAAATGAATGTAGAGTCCAAACACTCGAATCAGTACACGATTTAGGAATTAATTACACAGGAAGCCTAAACTTTGAAGAACATGCCTCCTCTATTATTTCTAAATCTAGACGGCTAATTGGTTTTATAATGAAAAACTTTTTCACAACAGAGGGTAAACTTACTCTCTACAAAATATGTGTACGACCCTCCCTTGAATACTGCTCTTTTGTCTTCTCTAATATGAATATCGCAGACAAGATAAGAGTAGATGTTCAAAGACGTTTCACACGTCAACTACTAGGATGTAACTCGAATCTCGATTACACAGAAGATGTAAGCATCTATCTTTAGAACCTTTATGGCACCGTAGGCTAAAAACAATTTAATATTTCTCTACAAAGCGATATATGGGCTCTCCTTTCTAACCTCCTGCCCGACTATCACCCACGACCCAGCCTATAGACTTAGAAACAACGCATATACACTACTTACCGTAAAACACCAAAAACAAATGCGTTGTAAGTTTTTTACAGTACGGTACAGTTTATTGTGGAACAGGCTGCCAATGCCTATCCGTAACTGTGATACGTTTACCAGATTCAAAAAGCTAATAACCCTATTTCTAGACTCCAAAGAGCTTCAACATTTCCTTGAACTCCCGCCCACCAATGAGGCACTTTATTACGGACCGCCTAGTATCTAGAAAGAACAAAATTATAACAAGTTCGACTGTTACTAATATGAATATAACCAAATCACAGAATATATGGCTTATCCTTTCCTATTATTCATTGTTTATTAATCATGACTTCATGCTCCTAACCCTAGCTTTCAGTCCCCAAATCTCTACAGGTTAAATGTACATTATTCTTCCTAAAAGTCATGCTTTTTTTTTCTACTGCAAGTAGACAGATAGC